CGTTTTTAGCTTATCCAGTTTAAATAGCAATCCTTTGTGCCACACGGAGTCAAAGGCCTTTCGGACGTCCAGAAACACTGCTGCAGATTTCAGTTTTACAAAACGTGCCGCCTGGAAGTTGGAAACCAGAATAGTTAGTGACTGGGACGTTGATTTGCCGGATTGGAAGCCAAATTGGTAAGGCGGAATTTTCTTTGATACCGCAACCAGGAGCTTGTTCTTCAAGTGCGTCTCGAAGAGTTTTCCAATTACGGGGAGCAGTGAGATGGGGCGATAGTTGGCTGGATCAGATAGAGAAGAATCCTTCTTGGGAATACAAGTAATAATTGACGTCTTCCAGTCGCGCGGGAAATGCTGAGTCGTAAGGCAAAAGTTAATTATTTTTCTGATAAAGCCATGGATGTTAAGATCTAGACTTCTAAGCAGTTTCCTTGTGATGTTATCATAGCCGGGAGCGGTATCTTTTCCCTGTCCAAGAAGAGTAAAATATTCGTCTTCCAACATGAGAGCATCTTCGGGTGTCTCGAACGGTGTCAAAAATGCGGATTCGTACCAATTATCTATAATGCTTTTATTGTGGGAACAAAACGAAACATCCTCGGTAAAGGTGAATACACCTTCTAGGTAGTCAGCGTGTATGTTGACAATCTCTTCAGGGTTGGAGTGCACACCGCCATCGGTAGGATCAATGAGCTCCTCCGTTCCAGGTGTCTTTTGGTATCTTGATAGTTTTCGAATTTCGTGCCAATAAATTTTTTTAATTTTTTCAATTTTCTACTCAAAAATTAATCCTCTTTTTAATGAAAGCGACCGTTTTTAAAAATTCCTTTTGCTTCCTGAGAAAAATATTCTTAAAGTTCAATCACGATTTTTAATTCAACAATTTTTCTCTTTCAACTTTAAAAATTCATATAAAATCGATTTATTTATGAATTGATTCGAAGCTTATTGAGTAGATAAAAGAAATCTTTCCCTACTTAGTGGTCCAAAGCGTTTTTGAAAATATTTCTTAGTTTTTGAGATAAAACTGTTTTAATTTACCAAAATTATTACTTTATAATTGATAAACGTTTTGTTTCAAAAAATCATATAAAATCAATTTGTTATTAATTTTTTTTAATTTTCTCAATTTTTAACACAAAAATTAATCCTCTTTTTAATGAAAGCGACCGTTCTTAAAAGTTCCTTTTGGTTCTTGAGAAAAAATGCTTAAAGTTCAATCACGATTTTTAATTCAACAATTTTTTTCTTTCAGCTTTAAAAATTCATATAAAATCGATTTATTTATGAATTGATTCGAAACTTATTGAGTAGATAAAAGAAATCTTTCCCTATTTAGTGGTCCAAACCGTTTTTGAAAATATTTCTTAGTTTTTGAGATAAAAATGTTTTAATTTACCAAAATTATTACTTAATAATTGATGAAAGTTTTGTTTCAAAAAATCATATAAAATTAATTTGTTAATAAATTTTTTCAATTTTTAACACAAAAATTAATCCTCTTTTTAATGAAAGCGGCCGTTTTTAAAAATCCCTTTTGGTTCTTGAGAAAAAAATTCTTAAGTTCAATCCCGATTTTTAATTCAACAATTTTTCACTTTCAACTTTAAAAAATCATATAAAATCGATTTATTTATGAATTAATTCGAAACTTATTGAGTAGATAAAAGAAATCTTTCCCTATTTAGTGGTCCAAAGCGTTTTTGAAAATATTTCTTAGTTTTTGAGATAAAAATGCTTTAATTTACCAAAATTATTACTTAATAATTGATGAAGGTTTTGTTTTAAAAAAATCATATAAAATCAATTTGTTATTAAATTCTTTTAATTTTTTCAATTTTTAACTCAAAAATTAATNGGTCTATTTCTTATTGTTTTAGAATAAAACTAAAAATAAACTTTTCTTTTAGTGTCGTCGAAGAAATTAAATTTACAGTTTCCTGTAAATTATAACTAAAAATTAAAAAACATATTTTTGATATTTGAAACAAATATATTTGTTGAACTGTTTAATTTATATATGTTTTACACAAAAGTTGGAATAGATTGCATTATTTCACATTTTTTATTACGATTTAATATTATTTTTAAACGACTTAATAAATTATCAATAGATGGCGCTCATATGTTTATATTCAAAAAGTGTCAAAAATTTTGTGAAGTGTCACTTTAAAAATCCTGTTTTTAAGATCAATTACGAAAATTTTGAAAAGTTTGACATGTTAGAATGTTATTTGTTTTTAAATACCAGAAGTTAGATTCGTATTTAATTATTAACTTTTTAGATTTTACCTACCGTCCCGTAACTTACAGGAAACTGTAAATTTAATTTCCTCGACGACACTAGATGGAAATTTTATAAAAAAAGTTTATTTTTAGCTTTATTCTGAAACAATAAGAAATAGACCCGTCGAACCTTATATTTTTGTAATCAGAATAAAAATAACGAATTTAA